TAAATAAATGTAATTCATTCTGGACAAAACATATTAAATATTGTTCCCCAATTATATGCAAGTATTTCAGATGTTTTCAATAAAACCTATATACTTCCATATAATTTATGTGTGACGATGTTGGCTACTTCTTGAAAGCTCTCCCTCATGGCTCTTGGTGCAGACAATGGAGGTCAACGAAAGTCACTGTATTTTAATTACACTTGAAAACGAAACAGAAGCAACAGAACGATATGGCCAACAAAAAGTTTTTGGATTGAGCTAATGGGTACGTCCCAATCTTATGTATTCTCTCTCAAATACAAGCAGTAATATATCTCTCAAAATTTCAAGTGTCAACAGCAATTCCATCTGATCATGTTTGTGTTTGGTGGTATAATTTCTTATAAGTTATCAATCATTTCCGCACGTAAAAACTTTCATGTCCAGAGTCATGAGGTCAGTCGTCTGAATTCAAGCCTTATTTTAGTTTTAACGCTTTATATAAGCTGTTGCGTGTATGATAAAGAGGTACGTTATTCTCTCTAGTTTCTAGTCAGCTGCAAACAAACTGTAAACATCCTGAAATGTTTATGTAAACATCCTGAAATGTTTACAGCATGTGTAGAAACTGTAAGAATCTTACTTGATGGTAACTTGTCATAATAATACACAACGGGATGCAGAAAATTAGAAAGATAAGCTGCTATTGGATCACCGATTGCCCGGTTAGTTCTGAAAGGATCACTGCCAGGACCTAAAACAAATAACATAAAATTAACATGCACTCTGAGTTCATTTATTGTAGTCTTGTGAAGTATCTGATGGTCTGAATTTGCTGATTTTTAGTATGCCCAATTAATTGTGATCACTTTGGCTTCCAAATTGATTGGACGTTTGAATTTCATTGGATTCCATTTTTGAATAATGTACTGATTTGCGTGTATTTGCAAAGATTTGCATCAGTTTTAAATTATTGTGAATCACAGTAAGTCAGTACAAGGGCAATTCCTCACACAATAGGTCTCAAAGCAGTTATGAGTGATATCAGAGTACAACTTTGGATGCTAACATTTTATTTTGAATGGTTCATACTCTGTACTCTCTCAAAATTGATACCCATAGTAATTAGTATGATACTGTATAATTGTTGAATGGCAGAAGACCATAGCAATCATATCTATTTGAAGCTATCATTATGTTTGTAGTTGAATATTGAATGCGGCAAAGATATATGACAATGAGTCAAAGTTACATTTTCAACCAATACTAATTTTATTGGCTTAATTAATCTAGGAGACTTTTTTATTTTTATTTTGAAGAACTCAAAATTTAGTGGCAGAGTGGTGTTAATTCTAACCAGAAAAGTTCTTTCCATATTCCAAAGTAATGACCATGACTTTGTCAACTTCATGTCCTGTCACTGCAGGTAAATCATGGAGAAGCTTGACTGGAAACTCCTCTAGATATGTATACATACGACCATTTCTAGTGTCATGAAAAAAATACAAAGTATTAATTTGCATAAAATGTCTCTGCATTAAAAAAGTGAAATTTTCATTGCGCAGTGTCAAATACATTGCATGGAACTCATCCCTTATCAAACAGGATGTCTGCATGTGTGTTTATTACCTAACATTCATTTAACTAAAAATGCTTGAAAGGGATTCAATGTGAAATCAATATTTCAATTCTTATGATCACACTATTAGGTAATAAGAATGCTAATTAACTAATTAACATATGCAGATTAATTAGATTTGGTGTATCTGTTCAAATAAGTTTTATTATTATGTAAATTACATAATTAATATGCATGAAATTGTGCTAGAAGGTAATCAGGTCTTCAGATCATCATGAAGTATTTCTGAATTGTTTTTTGATATTTTTGGTTAAAGGTTAAAGGTAGGTTAAACAGTGAGTACACTTTTGCACATCAACGAAATTTTGTTCACCAAGGAATCCTTGTTTTAAATGGTTACTACTGTATGATAGAATGCAGTTTTGCAAACCTAATCCGAGATGTTTGGTGAAATGGAAAGATAATTTTGTTGAGTCATCTGCAGTCATGCAGCTTAACTCACATTTTCCTGATTACAAGTACCACACCTGTGTACCTACCAATACACATATAAAAATTGATCACATATTTTCAGTACAGTAAAATTCACTTGTACACATAAAATTAAATGAAAATGAAATGGGGCAATGGTTTTTTTAAGTATTTTAAAATCTAGTATGCATTATTGAGCTAAAATGACTTTTAGATGACCAAAAAAAACCCACATACATTGGAGTAAAATGTTAATTTAAAAATGTTCAGACGACGAAGTATTTATTTGCGTTTTCATAAAAATGTGAGTGAATCTTTGTCCTCAATAATTTTAACTTATACTTTGTGGTATTTACCTATTTAACTAATATGAGATTTAGGCAATTTAAATAGCTACCTGTAGTGGTTATAAATGAAAGCTATGATAGCTTTAAGCTAGGTAAATGTTACTGTAAAATATTATATTTTCGCTTGGAATTAATTTTCGCTATTTTTGCTGAAGGAATGATTCAGTGAAAATAAAATCCAGCAAATATACCATTTTTCCTATATTTCAAATTCAATCAGAGGTATGTATGGATATCCCCAAATGCGTATCTGCGG